TTAAGGAAGACTTTCTTTCCCTGATAAAAAACGGGGTGCGAGCGCCGGGAGGGGCACTTCGATTGAAAAATACAATGTGCACCGGAAGGGGGGATCAACAATAATCATTCTTCAGTAATGAGAGTTCAACAACCACCACCACCACCACAACAACAGCAGCAGCAGCACCAACACCAACACCACCAACAACAACAGCAGCATCAACAACACCAGCAGCAATAAACCACCACCAACAACAACGCCACCAATAACAACACAACCAGCAATAACAACTAATTACAACATCAACCCCACCAACAACATCAACAGCAACAACAGCAACAACAACAACCACAACACCACCACCACCATCACCAACAACAACAGCAGCAACACCAACAAACGATGAACAGGTGATAAACGAATATAACATGAGAGAACCATGGGATACACGAAAGCATACCAATACCAAGCAACCCTCGAAGCACATGCGAATGTGTGAGACAGGAAGGGAGAGGGAGGGGGATGGAGGAGTGAGGGCTGGGGGGGACCGTAGATGGACAAAAAAGTGGAACCCTTGACACCACACCCCCCCCTCCCCCCTCCCCCCGACTTCAAAGTTGGCCTCGAGCACTTGGCGGCACAGGCGTGAGAGGACGAAACAAGTGGACCCCCCAGGGCCTCCGAGAGGCCGAAGCCAACTTTGAAATCGGGGGGAGGGGGGGGGGGAGGGGGGGGCGAGTGCGGGGCCGAAGACGAAGGGGTTCCCTTGTTTTTTGTCGCCTTACGGGAGAGAGACCTTGGGGGGGGTAGGGGGGGCACGAAGCCGCAGAGAGCCCCAGGCGGCGGCGGCGGCGCTCCGCCGCAGAGGGCCCCGTCCCCCGAGGGGGGGGGGGCGCGCCAGTCGGCAGCCCTTGTCCGAAGGCAGCGTCCAGGAGGTGCTCTCGGGCTCCTTCCCGGGGGAGGGCAAAGGGGGGGAGCGGGAGGGAGAGAGAGGGAGGGGGAGGGAGAAGGAGGGGGGGCGTGGGGTGCAGGGTGTGGGGGGGGCAGCAACAGGAGGAGACGGAGGAGGAAGAGGGGCAGGTGGAGGAGGAGCAGCACGGGGCGGATGGAGGAGGCGCAGCAGCAGGAGCAGGAGGGGGAGGAACATGGAGGAGCGCTAGCATGGGAGAAGACGCGGCCACGCACACCAAGGGCTGAAGTAATCCCATCAAAGCCCCTTCGCTTTGAAAGACCCCTCGCAAGGACAAGGAGGGGAACGGAGAAAGAGGAAGACCACTGACGCAGGAGGGAGTAGAAAGGACGACGAAGACATGTGGGAGGAGGAGGAGGAGGAGGAGGAGGAGGAGTGAGGAGGAGGAGAGGAGGAGGAGGAGGAGGAGGGGAGGGAGGAGGAGGAGGAGGAGGAGGAGGAGGGGGAGGAGGAGGAGGAGGAGGAGGAGGGGGGAGGAGGAGGGGGAGGAGGAGGGCGTGCGGAGGAGCGCCACCGGCCGCCCGGCTCTCCATGCGGAGGAGCGCCACCGGCCGCCCGGCTCTCCATCAGCACCGCCGGCGACGGGAAGCGCAGGTCCCGGGCGCCCATGGCCCGCGAGGTGGAGAGGCCCACGCGCAGCAGGGCCTGCCCCGCCGTGCTGCCCTCTCTGTCGGGGGGGGGGGCAGGCCGAGGGGCCTCCTGGCCTCATCTCAGAATCTCTGAGCGTGTGCGCGCGCGCCCTGCCCCCGTGCTGAGGAGGAGGAGGAGGCGGAGGAGGAGGAGGAGGAGGAGGAGGCGGAGGAGGAGGAGGAGGAGGAGGAGGCGGAGGAGGAGGAGGAGGAGGAGGAGGAGGAGGAGGAGGAAGAGGCAGGATTGAGAGGGCCCTGGGACACACCAAGAAATAGGCGCACGACTATAGCAGGATTCCCTATATTTTTTCCCCTATTTTCCGGGTTTTCGTCTTCCCCCCCACTGCCCATGTTTTTGCATGTTTTCCTGGGAGTGGGGGATTCGTTGTGTCTGTGTGCTTTTTTCCCCTCCTGATGAATGGGGTCCGAGTAGATGGGGTCGGAGCATCGCGCCATATCGCCGATACATCGGCGACATCGCCGACGCATCCGCGCCATCGGCGAGGAGCAGATCGGGCTCCACATCGAACCGCATCGCCGATGCATCGAGGACGCGGCGCGATCCTCCAACCTTCATCTACTCGGACCCCATCCGGGAGGCCTAAGAAGGACAGGTGGGGGGCGGGGGGGGGCGGGGGTCGGGAGCGGCCAAGAGGGGGGTGTCCGAGAGGGGGGGGTGCAAATCATGACCGGCGGCACGTGCGCGGCCCAGCGGGGGGGCCTGGGACGTCATAAAACAAGAAGAGGCGCCATGAAATCCGAGGAAACATCATGGCCCGCGCCACGAAATCCACCCCCCCCTAGTCATCACCCCCCTCTTTTCCGCTCCCGAGGGGGGGGGGGCAAAGGGAGCGAAGGACCCCATCTACTCGGGACCCCATCTGGGAGGCCTAGAAGGACAGGTGGAGGAGGAGGAGGAGGAGGAGGAGGAGGAGGAGGAAGAGGAGGAGGCAGCGAGCGAAGGGGGGGGGACCGGAAGGAGGGGCAGCGGAGGGGAGGGCGAGAGGCAGGCTCCCAACCGAGAGCGCCACGCAGGCTGCCTCGCGCGCTCCCGCCCGCCCGCCCGCGGCACGCGCGCACGACGACGAGGCTCGACGAGGGCGGCGGTCGCGCCGGCCGGCTGGGCAGCCGGCGGGAGCCGCCGGCGCAGACGCCGGAGCGCGCCACGCGCGCTCGCGCGTGCCCTCCTCCTCCTCCTCCTCCTCCTCCTCCTCCTCCTCCTCGTCCTCCTCCTCCTCCTCCTCCTCCTCGTCTCCTCCTCCTCCTCCTCCTCCTCCTCCTCCTCCTCCTCCTCGTCCTCCTCCTCCTCCCTCCTCCTCCCCTCGTCCTCCGTCCTCCCCCCCTCCCCTCCTCCTCCTCCTCCTCCTCCTCCTCCTCCTCGTCCGTCCTCCTCCTCCTCCTCCTCCTCCTCCTCCTCCTGTCCTCGTCCTCGTCCTCCTCCTCCTCCCCCTCCTCCTCCTCCTCCTCCTCCTCCTCCTCCTCCTCCTCCTCCTCCACCAGCCGGGGCGCCCCGCGTGCCAGGCGCACCGTGCGCACCGGGCGCCCAAAAAGTGTCGGGCGCGCCCGGTGCTCCAGGTGCGCCAGGTGTGCCACGCATGCCGCGGGCGCCACACAGGGGCTCCCAAATTTCGCGCTGCGCGCGGCGCGAAGCGCGGATCACGTCGCGCCGCCTCCCAGGGGCGAAGAGGAGGAGGAGGAGGAGGAGGAGGAGGAGGAGGAGGAGAAGACGGAGCCGAACCGCGAGTAGCTTCGCGCCCTCGAGGGCGCCCTTGCATGTGCCCCCTCCTCCAGGCGAATCGGGTGCGCAAGGTGCACGTGAAAGCTCACACCAAGCAATACGTCGCCACCTCCTCCGCCGCCCCTGCCAAGCGGGCATGCAAAGGAGTGGCGGCGGGGTGGTTAGCACCGCGCACGGCGTGTACACCCTGCATGACTTTACATATAAGCTTTTGACAGGGGTGGTGGGCCCGCGCACAATGAACAATTTTTTTGACATTAACATCAATGAAAAGAATGTGCCACCTCAATCAGAGCTGTCCGAGTCGGCAGCACTGATCCCCTCCTCAAGAGACCTGGCGACCTCTGCTCGAGGTCGTGAGCACACATCCTCAAGCACAGCAGCGCAGGAGACAGAGGGCGCACAATGAAAAGTCCCCCCCCCCACTCCTTGTAAAAGCCAGGCAGAATGATGACGGAGTGCACAACGTACACTCCGCAGGGCTTTTAATGCTGTCGGGCGCGCGCGGTTCGAAAACGTGCTCCCGCCCGCGCGCGGGCTGAATCTCACCAGCCCTCTGACGGCACGTGGTATAACAGTTGCATTCTTCGCTCTTCCAAACCCGTTCTTCCCTTATGCAAGGAAGCCTCCATCCTATCCCTTGTCAGTATGCAGCCCCCCTCCCCGAATCTACCGGCCGCGTACCAGGGCAAACGCTTACACCACCTCCCACCTTTCTTTCAACAAGAAACCCAGATCCGCGACGTCATGATTTTTTCATGACGTCGACCCCCCGAGGTCTCGACCCATTCCCCGGGACCGGTTTTTCGTCCTGAGTCGTTTTTTGACGGTCCCGAGGGCCCGTAAGGGCCCCCAAAGGCCAGAAATAAGGAAAAATGTCCCGTCGTGATTCTTTCATAACTCGAGGGGGTCTGGGAACACACATTGCGGCAACATCTGACGCAGATTGGGGCGCCCCGCGATCACAGTGCAGTGCTCGTTTGGCAGGGGCGAAGTGGGGGGGGCAATGCGCAGCACAGGCCCCCACGTGCGCAGGGCCCGCCGCCCCATGTCAAGACACCTGCGCAAAATGTGCACGTTGCGGCAGACTCTTAGACCGTGCGCGGGCGCCCCGCGATTGTTCTGCACCCTTGTCGGACAGGGATGATGGGCCTCCTGCGCCTCCTGCGCCGGGGGGCGCCCGGCGGCTGGCTGCTCGGAGCGGAGGGGGGGGCCGACGCCGCTGCCGGGCGCGTGCTGGCCAGGACCCCGGGGCGAATCCTGCAGGGCAGGAGAGGGCACAAACAAAACGACTTTCGGGACTTGGAGCCCTTCTGCCGATGGCGTTTCTCTTCTTCGAGGCGCTGGCCATCGCTCGGACGTCCATTCCCTGTGTTTTTTCCGGTCTCGTGCGTGGCTTTCGCGCCAAAGGATCCAGGGTGCTCCCCGATGGTCATCGCCGAAGGAAAATTGCACACGTCCCCAGACCCCCGACGTCATGATTTTTTCCTGACGTCGACCCCCCGAGGTCTCGACCCCTTCCCCGGCACCGGTTTTTCATCCCGAGTCGTTCTTTGACGGCCCCGAGGGCCGGCAGGGGCCCCCCGAGGCCAAAAAGAACGAAAAACCTCCCGTCGTGAGTTTCTCGACGACGCGAGGAGGTCTGGGTCCGACGTCCGAGCGATGCCAGGATGATGGGGGTGCCCCGGCAGGCGCGGCGCAGCTCGCGGGAGTCGCGCGCCTGCCCGGCGCCTGCGCGGGCTCCCGAGGGCCGTCGAGGGCGGCCCCCGGCTCTGCTGCGAGGCTCGGGTGCTGCCTTGTGCTTCAGCGGGGCGAGCGGGAGCGAGTGAGACGGCCTGCGGCTTGTGGCAGCTCGACCCCTACCCCTGCCCCCTCCTCCTCCTCCTCCTCCTCCTCCTCCTCCTCCTCCTCCTCCTTAGTGGGCCCTGGAAACGACTGGGCAGTTTTTTTACCGGTTCCGTTATGCCGTTTTTTGTGCGGGTTCCCACGCCGTTCTTTTACCAGTTCCGTCGCCGTTTTGTGACCGGTTGCGGCTCCGGTTCCAATCCTGGAGCCGTTTTTTCGCCGTTTCCAGTCGCCGTTTTTTTGCTGCTTCCATTTTGAAGGGACATTTTTCTGGAAACGGTGAAAAAACGGCCCTGCCGTTTCCGGGGGCCACAAAGCCCCTCCCTGACTCCAGATCCGCCCTACTTTGGCTTTTTTTCCAACTTAAAATTGCGTCGGAAATCCACCTAGAAGAGGCCGAAAAAGTAGGGCGGAAATTGCTGCACCCAACATAAAATAGGGCGGAAACCCACAGAAACAGCAACAGAAAAGTAGGGCGGAAATTGGCATCGGCGGGGCTTGAAAAGTAAGGCGGAAATTCCAAGCCCTACTTACGAATTTCCCCAAAGTAGGGCGGATCCGGAGTCAGGGCTGCCCCCTCCCCCAGGCTCTGGGGGAGGAAGGCCGCAGTGGCAGGCTGCGCCCCCGTTGGGGCCCATTCGTGGCTCCAGGGCGGCCTCCGACGCCCGAGGGGGCCTCCGAGATGGCCTCCAAGACAGGTACTGTGATCCTCGGGCGGCAAGCCTCCTCCTCCTCCTCCTCCTCCTCCTCCTCCTCCTCCTCCTCCCCCTCCTCCTCTTTCTCCTCCTCTTTCTCCTCCTCTTTCTCCTCCTCCTCGGGCGGCAAGCCTCCTCGCAAAGGGAGGAGGGGGAGGAGGAGATGCCTCACGACAGCTTGCGACGTACAGTCATCGGCCCGACCTAAGGAACGATACATAAGGAACGAAGCCCCCTTTTTTCTCCCAAGGAATAACGCATAAGGAACGATAAACATAATACATAACGCAAAAAAAGGAACTGCAGATGACGCGTGCAAACCTAGGGAACGACCGAGCCCCTTTGGAAAAGCAAGTGCTCCTTGTTCAAGCCGCTCACCTTATCTCCGAGAGGCCCCAAGACGCTCCAAGTGCTCGGAGCCCCCCCGACCCCCCCCCCTACAGAAGCGAAAACCAGAAAGGAATCAATGGTGCGTGTGCCTTCTCGCCTGTTTCGCCTCCGATGGACCTTTGAGGCATTACGATGGCCCCAAAGAGCCCCAAGATGAGTCCACGAGGGTTCCAGGACGGTCGAAGAGGCCCCCAAGAGCCCTCAGCCGTAGGGCCAAAAATCACCCCCCCAGACCCAAGAAGGCCCCAAGACCCCCCAAAGAGCCCCAAGATGGCCTATAGACCCCACAAAACAGCCCAATAGGGCCCCAAGACAGTCACAGGAGGACCTCGAGAGGAGCCCAAGAAG